TCTTTCCGTGCGGACGTTCTCATGTTTGCGTGCTCTTCCTTGGGCTTGGCCCTTGGTTTCCCATAGCAGAGTCTCAAGTATCGCCTCTTAGGTTAAAAAAAAATATATTTATTCAGATGGTACAGCAGAGCAAAACCCCAGCTCGAGCTGGGTGCCTCTGGAGAGGGCTCCTGAACAAGGGAATTCCTGGGCAGCTATATACGTTTCCTGTGCCTGTGCCCCTCATGCACCTTTTTGCTCCAGTGGTGATTTCTGAGGTCTTCTAACACCTCGTTGGATGCTTTCTTTTCTCCTGGCAGGGCGTTAACTGTTCTCCTCTTGTCAAGTTGGTGATGGCTGTAGCATCCTTATCCTTCTGGTTTGTGCTGCTTGTGCACCTGCTTGTGCTGTCAGACTAAACCTAGGATGCACACTGCTTAGCACACCGACGTTTTAGTTGTTGCTGTCAATGTTGTTCTCATCCTAAATCCAAACCACAGCACTGTACCCCAGCTACCAAGAAGAAAATTATCCTGGCCAAAAGCGTGGCTAGGTGAATGTTCACAGCCCGCGGCCTCAGGCCTCAGCAGATCTAGTACTTGTGCAAAGTCAGCGATGAACAAGCAGGGCACCAAATTACTCAACATTATGCTGTAACCCCTGCCTCCTCATCCTAAATGATTGAGCGATTTGTTCTACTTAAAACTTACGTGTGTAAACTAAACAGCTAGTACCTCTTACCACGTAGCCCGTAGTGGTGTAACTGAACTGGCTTGAGCAACAGTGTGCTGCATTTAAAACATGTACTGTGTAGAGCTGTTCCAGCATCATGCCGGGTAACTTGCAGGGTGGATAAGCCCTAAACCTGCTCTTCCTTCCTTCTTGAGCTCGCCCTTCTAGCCAGGAGGATGCTCTTTCATACGACTGGGTTAGCAAGGTGGTGTGAATTCCGAGTACTGGCTCGGGCTTCCCAGGCTTAGCCTGTCATCAGGCTGATGTCTAGGGCTCTCCTGGCTTGGGTGTTTCCCCGAGGACGAGGGCTGGTAGGCTGCAGCCAGCGATACACAAGGAGAAATAGGAGAAGGCAGGACAGGACAAATCCTTGTTGCTGCTTTGGCGTTGGCCCTCGCCGTTCACGGCCTTGCCTTAGCAGGCTCTGAGCATTCATGGCTTTAGTTCCACATCATCATTCTTCAAAACAAACGACTTCCTGGGTTAGTGCTCAGATTAGTTTGCTGTAAACTGTAGTCAGTGTTTTTCATGCCTGTTAATACCCAGAGCACTGTTCTGAATTTGAAGGGTGAAACAGCTTGCAGAGTACTGGGGGAGCTGAGTTTTATCAGAAATGCTGATAATACTAGTCTCGTTGAAAACCAGAAGAAGTGACCTTAGCCAAGTTATATTTTGGGTGTGTTCAAATTGTGGTGGAACAGGTTTAATATATTGTAAACTGTTATTGCCAGGCACTTTTCTCAATCATAGTTTATCAGTAGCAATTGTCTTTAATAGTCTTCCGACCTAGAGGACTGAACGTGCCCTTTCAGAAGATGTTGAACCTTTATCACAGAGGATTTTGGTTGTTTCCCTTCTAGGGTGCTCCTGAAGAAATCTGGTTGTAAAATACCAAGAATTGAACTGGAAGAGATGGGACCTTCATTAGATCTGGTTATGAGGAGGACACATTTAGCTTCAGATGACCTTTACAAGCTGTCATTAAAACAACCGAAAGCCCTGAAGGTACGTGCCTTGGAAAGCGTATTGTTCCAGGCCTACGGGTGAAGAAGAGCAACAGCTGAGGTACCGACTGTTGTACAGTCACTGGAGGTTGCTTTGACATAGGGCCGCTGATATGTCTGGGGCCACAGCGCTTTTGTGGTAGCAGACAAACTCTCCTCTGGTGGTCCATAAGATCAGAACAAACCTTAATCTCTAAGCTCCAAGCAACGTATGCAGCCTTGCTTTTAGGCACTCGGTGTGGTAGTTTAGTTGCCGATGACCGTGGTGATGGGAAGGCCAGATAGCTGCCTTCTCGCCAGAGCTCCTGGCACCCTCTGCTCAGAAATACTAACGCGGTTCTTCCCTTACAGCCTAAGAAGAAAAAGAATATCTCTCACGACGTGTTTGGTACAACGTACGGCCGAATCCACATGCAGAAGCAAGACCTCGGCAAACTGCAGACGCGGAAGATGAAAGGGTTAAGGAAGAGGCCAGCAGAGAAGGCGGCTGAAGGTGGTGGGGTTAGCCCCAAAAAGTCAAAATCGGCTTGATGGTCTGGAACAGCTTTGGAAACTCTTTGTACCTTCAAATTCAGTATGTGTGTTGTAATAGAAATGCGTTCCACGTAAGAGTCGGCTGCTGTTAGCTTTAGTTTTATAAAGAGAATCTTTTTAAATGGTTTGTCATTCTAAAGGGAACATGGGGGTGTTGAGTTTTAACATGGAACTTTGGGGTTTATTTCGAACAACCATGTGGTACAACTTGCTTAGCTTTCCAACGCCGAGCGTTTATTCTCCTGGTGTTAGCAAACATCTGCTAGTCAAGCAGGTGACTCATTTCCCAAACAGTCTTAGGGCGTTTTATGTTGGGAACCGTTGATCCATCAGCTCGTAACTCCCGTGCAGGACCGGAGTAGTGTATATGCGTGATAACATACACAGCCTCTCTGTTCATTTATTACGTGTTTCAGGTTTTGCACAACTGCAGTGCTCAAATAAACCCTTTCCTAAAGCCTGAGAAGACAGTCGGGTGTGATGCCAGACGGTGTTTTGACCTGTCGCACCAAGCCCTGCTTTACTCTTGCAGAATGCAGAGTGATTAAGGTGTTTTTACTGTGCTCATCACCGTGGCAGCCAAGTGCCTGATGTTTGCTTTAGGCATAGATGAAACTTTGCCGTTTGGATTTCAATCTGTGATGCTTCATTTGTGCCCAGAATGGGTGTCAGGTACAAGTCTCTTTTTTTCTTACTCTCTTTTCCTCCGAAGCTTGCGCTCGTGAGGTAGTGGAGACTCGGGTAAAGGGGGTGAGAGTTTAAGAGCTTAAAGAGGCTTCGCTGTGGTGTTCTGTGTTTTGGAACATACTGAGAAACCTTGCCTTTTTCCTTCTGCTTCTCTCTTTGGCAGCTGTTACTGTGCCCTTTAGCGTAATCGTGATAAAAGCGTACACGCTTTGTCAGCACAGCATGCTCTTCCTCGTCCGAGTTGTTTCAGTGCCTTAGCTTCTCTTCCCAGTCTTCTCGGTGTAATCGGCCGAAGTGTCGCGTTAGAAATAGGTGGGTGGTCGTTTTTGCCTTCTGCATCCTGAATGGAAGCAGTTGGGCAGCTTTGCTCTCCTTACGTGAGAGCTGAGCCGCAACTGCGGTTGTGCAAATGCCACCTGTGATGTTCTTGCTGTGCTGGGTTGATAGAATGTGTAGTGTGAGAAAGAAGGGGCTTTAAAAGTTTGGGATCTTTGTGAGGGCACAAATGAAATTATCATATTGCCTAAGTTATATTTTTTTTTTTAGCATTACATAAAATAAAGCCAACCGCATCCTGGGCTGTTATCAGGGGAAGTGTGGCCAGCAGGTCGAGGGAGGGGATTCTCCCCTTCTACTCTGCTCTTGTGAGACCCCACCTGGAGTGCTGCATCCAGCTCTGGGGCCCTCAACATCAGAAGGATATAGACCGGTTGGAGTGAGTCCAGAGGAGGCCACGAAGATGCTTAGAGGGCTGGAGCACCTCTGCTATGGGGACAGGCTGAGAGAGTTGGGCTTGTTCAGCCTGGAGAAGAGAAGGCTCCGGGGAGACCTTATTGCAGCCTTCCAGTACCTGAAGGGGCTACAAGGAAGCTGGGGGGGGCTTTTTACAAGGGTCTGTAGTGACAGGACAAGGGGTAATGGGTTTAAATTGAAAGTGGGGAGGTTTAGATTAGATATCAGGAAGAAGCTCTTCCTGGAGAGGGGGGTGAGGCACTGGAACAGGTTGCCCAGAGGAGCTGTGGATGCCCCATCCCTGGAAGTGTTCAAGGCCAGGCTGGATGAGGCTTTGAGCAACCTGGTCTAGTGGAAGGTGTCCCTGCCCATGGCAGGGGGGTTGGAACTGGATGGTCTTTAAGGTCCCTTCCAACCCAAACCATTCTGTGATTGTGATCTTAATGCTAAAAGTGAGAGCACTCCCTGGTAGTAGTCCAGAGAGAAGCTGTTGCATTTGTTTTGTTGAATGGTGCTGCTGGTTTGCTCCGTGTGACGAGGACGCTTGGACAGCTGAGGGTGCTGCACCTGCTGATGACAGTCAGTCACCCTGCGGTGTTAACTAGCCCGGCTTCAGAGAGAGCCACAGGCCTGAAGCACAGGACATTGGTCAGCAGGGAGAGCCCAGGTGCAGTCACTCACCCTTTGCTGGGTCTTTTTTCTCAGCTGACTGGAGGAGGAAGCTGAAGTGCCTGTTGTCCTGCTCCAGTGGCTGTTTGTGTGAATACCCTTTTGTTCCTACTGCTTGTAGTGGTGAAATACAGGTGGACAAAACACCTTGGATACGTGAGGCAAGGAGAAATTCACGTGGATATATAGACTAAGGACGTTTAAGGATGTTTTTTCATGCTAATCACTTTAAAGTTGTGTTGTTAGCAAGGATTAGCATTTGCTCCATTTCCAATGAACACTTTGTACTCCTCAAAGTAATGCCATTTTGGTGCAAACTCCAAGTGGGAAGTGGAAATCCTGTCACGTTTTGCTCTCGTGGCAGAAATGAACCACTCTGATCTCCATGTGCTGAGATCGGATGAGGCCGGGCTAGCGATTGAGTTCACCCCTGCTCCTTCTGAGAAGTTTCGCTCTGGCCGTCCGGCAGCGGTTAAGCCCCAGGAGTGGTGGCTCATGTAATTTCAGATGTACAGCCTGTACCTCTGCACGGTAGGCTATTGCTACGTTTTGAGTGTCTGATTTCGCTCAAGGTGAATGCAGATAGGAGGGCTAAATATAACCTTTCCAGTGGCACGTTCTTATTTCTCACAGTCTTTTAAAGCGCGAGGGAGTTTAAGTGCTGCAATGTAGCCGTCTGCACGGGGAATAGAACATAGGGTGCTCACAGGGCAGCTGACAAAAGGGGCTTGCCTTGCCTCAATTGCCCCTTGCTTCCAGAGTTCACAAGGCTCTGAGAACACGTAAACATGGCCCCAGGGTCTGCGTGGCACAGGCAAGGCATGACTGGCACGCTCACCCCTTTGGCTTTCATCTTCCCACCTCCCAGCGCTCTGGAGTTAGCTTTATTTATGGGTTGAGCACAGTAATAAATTCAGTTTGAAGAACATCCCTGTGGGCACAGCGTGGCTCTGGAGGCTGTACCTGTGGGGGGAGGTGGGAATTGGCAGCCAAGCCCGTGCTGTCTTTAGCTGGCAGGATGGCAAGGGCAGGGAGGGCACGAGTCATGCCTTCTGCGGACCCTCGGTTTGGGTGCTGATCTTGCCCAGCTGTGCTGCTGGCATCTTCACTGCTGCTGGCATTGATGACTAATGGTATACTGAGAATTTATAGTCTCCCTGCACTGCAAACTCTTTGTGTGTGGTGTGATTAGGAAAGGAGGAAGAGAGGTTGATCCTGAGTGGCACGATGTGCTGGTTTCTTGGGATTCCCACCTTTTGGGGAATCAGTCCTGGGTACGTGTAATCGCAGCCTTAGCTCTGGCTAGTATGACGTGACAGACCCAGCGCTGAGGGGACCAAGTGGCCTGTGTTTGAAAAGAGCACATGACTTCCCTTCTATTTGCTGGATTCTGTGGGTTTATCTTTACAGTTCCTTAGCAACCTTATTTGTTTTCACTAAGTGCTTTCTGGGTTTGACTGTGAGGGTTCCCCCCACACACCCCACCACTGGCTTGTGTGCCGCTGGGGAGGGTGTCGTGGTTTAACTCCGGC